CTCTCCGGCGCAGCATGTATGTGCGCCTTGCTCAACACCTCAGTGCTCAACACCTCAGGGCGCACGCGCCCAAAGTACATCTCCATCAGCATGGCATGCTTTCTGTCCGACGCAGCATCGAGTTCCTCAATGGTCGGGGCGCCGCTGGGAGACGCCGGGGAGGCGACGTCGGAACCGCCTGGGTTGATCATGGAGAGGACGGCCTGGATGTGTGCGCGGAGCACGACGCGAAGGAGGGAGTTGGGTTCGCGGTTGGCCTGCGGGTTGAGGTGGGCATCGCAGGCTTCGATAGCGGCGTGCAGGGCGGTGAAGATGGCGGGGGTGTAGGTGTCGTGGGACTTGATGGGCTTCTTGGGCGGGGGTCCGCCCTTGGTGGTGTTGCTTGTGCCTTGGGTTTTGAGGGTTACGGCACTAGAGGAGCTGAAGGTCTTGGGGAGGGCCCAGCGGCGGTGGGTGACGGCGCCGTTTTGGGCTTCGACGTCGGTGCCCGTGGCGACGGCGCCAGAGGAGGTGTGGGTGGTGGATACGAACTTGGGGAGGGCTTTCCACTCGTCAAAGCCGGAGAGGATGGCGTCGAGGTGGGAGGCGATGTCGAGGGTGCCGTTGGACGACGAGGACTCCTTCAGGGCGTTGCGGTATTCGCCAAGGAGGGCGAGCAGGTCGAACGACTTGGTGTCCCAGCGGAAGACGGTCGGGTTGGGGAGGGTGCGGAAGACGGTGCCCTTGACCTGCAAGACAACGCCTAGCATGCCGAGGATCTCGAAGGCGACGGGGAACAGATGGCTGTGGCGCGCCTTGGTCTCGGTGTCCCGGAAGTAGTTGACGTTGCGGGCGTTCAGGCCCAGCACCACCAGCGTCTCGGCGATCTCCTCCATGGTGCCTAGCTGCAGCGACCCGAGCCGCAGCGCCTCCTCGGAGGACGCCTTGTCCTCGTCGTCCCGCGTGCGGAAGGTGGTCGGGCAGAAGCCAAAGCAGAGCTCCTTGACCGAGTTGTGCGGTACCGTCCGGTTAGGCCCCCACTTCTGGGGCCCCTTTTTCTGGATGGAGAAGGTCAGACCGAGGCCCTCGATGTTGGACCCCGACAGGATGAAGCCGTTGCCCTGCGCCAGGTACCGGTCGTCCTCGCGGTTCCACACGATCCAGTACACGCCCAGCATCGCCGACAGCTCGACCATGTGCGCAATGGTCGTCGTTGCGTACGGCTTCGGCACGTTGTCCGGCACCGTGTCCCACGACTTCTTCTTGCGCTGGATGCAGACCGTCAGCGTGTGCCCGGCGCCCGCGCCCTGTGGCGGCCAGTGCACATCGCTGTCCTCGACCCTCTTCTCCGAGTCCAGGTACCGCCCCTGCCAGTCGCGGCTCTCCACCTCCATGCCCTCGACGGCCATCAGCAGATCCAGCCACGTCGCGCGCTCGTTGTCGGCCGTGTGCACCCTCCCCGGCTCCGACAGCTTCCTGCGCTCCTCCTCCTCCAGCTCCTTCTGGCTCAGCACGCACGCGCCCTCGTAGCTCTCCTTGCTCCCGTCCAGCACGGTGATCTTGCTGCGCTCCGTGCTGCCCATGGGCCCCCGCGTGTTATCCGGACGCGCGATGAAGATGACGGGCGTCAGGAACTCGACTTCGAAGCGGAACTCGTACCACAGGAACCGCCGGTGCCGGAAGGCCGCCCATTTCCCAATCACCTTGGGCCCGCAGGAGGAGTAGCCGCGCGCTGAGGAGTAGTACTGCTGCAGGGCTTGCAGGATGGAGACGACAAAGGCCGCGATGGAGATGACCAGCGCCGCGATGGCGAGGAAGAGCTCGGTGTTGTCATCGTTGCCGCCGTTGTTCGTAGGGGCGGCTGTCTCCGTGGGTATCGCGTCGGCCATGGTGGCGGGTGAGGCCGGCGTCAATCGGGACTGGGCGGGTAGTTGACGCGAGATCGGAGAGGAAGCTAACCATTTGGGTGGTGGAGTGGTTGTTATATTTTTTTTCTTTGGCGGCGGCGGCGGTGGGCGCGTTTCCGGGGTCGGTTCTCGCGAACCCACACGCGATTTTTCAGCTTTGCTGCATCCTGCTGCCGTGTTTCCGGCCGTCGAGACTGCGGTTGGTGCGACTGCTGCATCCTTCCGGCATCATTTCTTCGGGGGCCAATCGCGGCCCCGGTCCGATGCGGGGCCTTCCCCGTCAGCCCTAAATTGGGGTTGGCGTGCATGGGCTCGTCGACGCCATTCGCGGGTTCATGCATCGAGTATCTGTGGAGGCTGGCTGGACGCCGCTTGCTCTGTGGAACGCAAAGGGGAGGGGGGGAGACATCGAGAACTTTACCGTCAGTGTAGGGTTCTTGGGACACGGTGTGTTGTTGACGGCCCCTGAGACCTGGCTTGGCTGCGTTGCAAATCCTGTTGCCTGAAGGGGGGTCATGTAAGAGTGGGGTCGGGCGGCCGCTGTTAGCTCCGAGCTTCTTGACGGGGACCCATGATGGTTTCATCGGAGTGCACGAAGTAGTGGGGACTCCAAAAATAGGGGCAAGGGATGAACCGAATTAGTTCAACACCCTTCCAAGAATACAGGATTGAACACTCTGAAGGTGTTTGCCAACTGTTCAAAGTCGTCACCCGATGGGTTTCCAAAGACCTTGAGTGATTCTCTGAAGGCCTCTGGCAAACCGTCAAACCAATTCTTTTCACCTCGTGGGGCTTTGGTCAGGGATGCAGAGTAAACATATATTTGTTGACAAGGCGGTCAGGAGTTTGATAAATCCATGTGACTGACGCAAACTCGAATATTCTATGATCAAATCTACTGATAACAACGCACATTGATGAATCAGTCTCCGCCTCCCGGAGGATCCGTGGGCACTTTCAGGTCCCAGTAGTTGTCATGCCAAAACTCATCAACGCCAAACAACGCTGATTTCACACACGATGGCTCGTAGTGATCCGATACCCTGCCAAAGGGCCACATGGCCACAAAGCAGACCTCATTGGCAGCACACCCGCGGCATTTTTTCCATGTTGTCCACCGCAACTCGGCCGTGAGATTGCGCACCATTCCACGCCCCTGCTCAACAGCCTTTTGCATTGTGGCCCTTTCCGTGTCGTTGATGTCCCCACTCGCAACACCAAAGACGATCCCAGGTTGGAGACTCTCGAGCTCAGTCCTGACGTCGAAGAGCGTCTGACAAATCCGCTGTGTGACGCTTGAGATGACCGCATGCAACATCTCGTCCTCCTCAGTCCAGTCGCCGCTGGCACGTTTCCACTCGAGGGGAAGCAGGTATTGCTCTGCGCAACGCTGGCATTCCTGTGCGAACCCTTCACCCCCGTTCAAGACTGTCACGTCTCCCGGTGCCGAAGGGTATTCCACATACGAATTCGTGGCGGCAAACACCTCCTCCACGAATCGGCCCGCCTCCACCTCCTCGGATGCCATATACCCCAACCGCTCGCTGTACCTTGCCACCACCATATCCACCACGCCCTGCCAGTCAACACCCTCCCCATTCCCTTTCCCTCCTGCCTTTGCCACCGCGCCCACCCTCCCCATGACCACTTCTCTCTCCTCTCTCGTCATCCCCACCAACCGTGGTAACCCCTCCTTCGCCCTTTTCTCATCCGGATTCCTCACATCCACGGGATACCACAACGGACTCACCATCCTCGAGAAATCCAACTTGACCCTTCCCCCTCCGATCCCATCATACCTCTCCCCCGCCGCCCTCGCCCACCGCCAGACCCCCTCGCGGCCCTTTTTCGGATCCCACTTCTCACTTGCTTCCAACCCCTTACTCCTCACCACGCTCCTCGTTTCTAATCCCTTGCCCTCCGAAAAGTCACACCAGATAATCTCAAACCCGATCTCCATGCGAATGATTCCGTCGTAGCCCCACGAAGTGACGAGCGCGCAGAGCTCGCGGGCGCGTTGGTAGTCGGCGAAGGGGTTATCTTCTGCTGGGTCGAGGAGGCGGAGGATGTAATCCTGGGTGTCGAGGGTGCCGAGATAAGTGTTGCCTGCAGAGGAGCCATCGACATAGAGAAGATGCAAGGGGCGTGTGGTGAGGAAGGTGTGGAAATAGCCGCGGATGGTCTTGCTGTTTTCCTCGGCAAGAGGGGTGTTTTTGAGACGTCGTTGGGCATTATCCTGGTCGAACATAGGTCTTGGCCGGTGGTCGTGATGCGTGGACACGTTGGGCCAAATACCGTATGGCCGCGACCGAGCAAAGTTTTCGGCGTGTTCCATTTCGAAAGCGAGCCACTCGGGAGCGATGGGGGTTGAGTTGAAAGCGCTGCCGTGGTAGAGGGCAGTTCCGCGCGGGATGGTCGCGGGGATGAGGGACATCCCATTGTGGTGGAGAGAGGAGCCCCATTGGCGCATCGCCGAGTGCACCGAGTTGAAGATCAGGAAGGCATTTTGGCGTGCACTTTCCGCTGATGGTTGGATTGGAGACTTTGATGATGCGAGCTGTGACAATGCTGCCACTGCAGACAGCAGCGCTTGGCGGACTTTCATTCTCATTGTGTCGTTTGTGTTGGAACATTTGGCGGTGAGAGACGAAAGGGAGGTTGCCTACCTATTACGCGGCTCATGGAAGTCTTTATCTTTCCAGGTTTGGGGGTGTGGGCGCAGAAATCCTCCGCGTGGCGGCTAATTGGCCGCGCGAAGCTCGTTGCAACGACGCTGCTCGCTTGGAAGGTGGTAGTGTACACCACCACGCCCTTCCGATTGTATGACTCATCCGGCTGACGACACACTAGGGGCCAACACGACAAAATGAGTGCATCAACGCCAGTGAAGAGCGCCAGTCCATAGAGGCGTTAAGAATATTTGATGAAAATTTCTGGGGGCTTCTTGACGGCGACAGATGCGGCATTAAAGGGGCTACCCCTGAGTCCAAGTGAACGAACAATTCCTTGCTAGCAAAGCAAACTCAGGATGCAGATGCCCTAGCGCTATGGTGTCGTCCTGAAAGGAGTAAGAGGGGCAAAAAAAGGTGAAATTTCCACATGGAGAAGATTCAGGGGCTCATTCGGGGATTGAACCGGAGACCTCGCACATTCATGTCGCTTGTTAACCAGGCGATGGGATGGATCCCGAAGCACGAATCATACCACTAGACCATTGAGCCCGTTTTTTGATGCTTTTCGTTGTGATTTGTGGCCATAAATACAAACCACCCGCCCACGTAGGTCGGGTGAGAACATGAAAGGAAAGAAAGGACATGACAGTCAGGCATTTCATGCTATGATGCTGCGCCTCTCATCTCTCAGTCATCGCCCCTACCCTTCCTTGTCCTTACAGTAGCACCCCTAAGCAGCAAATCCAACCGCAGCAGTCCTCTTAGCCACAAACGGAACCGTCCTCGTCCCCTCAACCTTTACCGGCTTCCCATCTCCATTGTACGCACTCGAAGTCTGCCTAGCATGCGGAACCGGCTGCGCATTAGGCGCCACCGTCGGACCAGGAACCTGATACGTAGAAAGCGGCTGGTACACATCGATGACCAATCCGGGGTGATTCCGCTCGTAGAGCTTCGTAGCAGGGACACCCTTCAGAGAAAAGGGAAGGGGAAAGGTCCCCGGCGCAGGGGGCAGGACATAGATGTTGATGCAGATGGGGTAGTGCTGGGCGCCGGATTCGGTCGGGTTGGACGCATAGTGCAGCGCGATAATCTCATGACGGAGGACATACGGTCCGGGCTTCAGGCCCGACGGGATGTGGATCTGCCAGGTGTTGTTGTTGCCGATGAGAATGTTGGTCGCCCAAGTTCCGGGGGACGGACCGTCAGGGCTGATCAGGACAGGGGCGGAGTCGTCAATTTTGGTCCATTGAAGCTTGGTCTTGTCAACGGAGGCACAGCCGTCATTGGTACCGGTGCAGGGCGCGAGATAGGAGAACACGGGACCGGGGTGGTTCAGGGGCCAGCCCGCCCAGTAAGCGGCAATGTTGTCCCCAGCGCGGACGACTGCGTGGGCAGGGACTGACTTGGCGTCGCGGTGACAGGCCATGTTGGGGCTAAGATAGTCGGAGAAGTTGATCCAGCCGTCGTCGGGGGCGTTGTGGGACCACACGACGCGGTTAGGTGAGATGGGACCCGCGATGGACCGGGGGTCGTAGCCTTCGTACTTGAGGCCATTGATGTTGATGTAGGCGATGTGAGAATGGGCTGCTGCAAAGGAGGCGAGGCCGAGGGCACTCAAGATGGAAGTGGAGGAAATCATGATTGAACGACAGGATTTTGTTTTGGGTTACAGAATCAGAGAAAAGTGTTGGAGGGATGTTGGTTGATGCTCTCATCTTGGGATACTGGGGATAAAACGAAGTATTTATGTTGACCTCTACCCCTTTTCCCACAAATCAAGAGCTCCGTTCAAGGCACGCCTTTGTCCTCTTGAGCTTACTTCTTGTCAAAATTGGTTTCCTACGTAGCATGTGAGGCTCACCAAGGTGGGGCTTGGTGCACCAAAGCAAGTCCAGGCTCACGGCTGTTTGGAGGGAAAAGACGTGGTTGTGTGCGGCGCGGACTCAATATTACGCATCTCGATGGCACGTAAATGCGTTTGATAGAAGTTTAAACCGTCATAGCGTCAATTACGACTTGACGCTTTGGGAGAACTAGTGCTCCCTGACGATTATTTGTGGCTGACAACTGATGATCCTTAGAATCTTTGATGGGTGCTGTTCGAGTGGTGCTTTGATACTGTGATTTGGGTGTCGTGGTTTGGCCAATACCAGACAATAGCGGAGTTTTGGACGGTAGAAAAACAAGAGCGTGCTTATTGTTGCGAAAATCCTGTCAGGCAGTGGTGCACCAACATTGACCGAATGAGTACCTACCTGAAAATTTGTTTCCTGTAAACTCAAGACCCAAGGTCTGTCGAGCTCATCCTTCCGCAACCGGTACTTTTGCTTCAACTAGAATCTGGCAGCCGCAAAGCACCATTGGATGTAGTCAGCCTTGAGCGGCACGGAACACCCCATGCTTGCAAAGGGCCGAATGCAGCATGGCGACATGTTAGTCCAAGTAAGCGTCTCGCAATTGGAGCCGGAAGGCAAAACAATGATTGGCTCGATTGTAAAGACTAGGGCTGATGCAAGGGACCACATGGCATGCGCCGCATCCTTCATCTCGTGGCCTTTCCCACGAACCGGGAACCGAGGCTGTCGTTTGTTCGCTCCCGCCTTGGCATACCGATGAAGTAAAATAACGGAAGCTGAATGTTCTCATCAATCACAATGTCCGTCTGTCTAGCTGCACCATCCCCTCAGTTTGGTTGCACCATCTCTCTGTCTCTCACCACCCCTGCAACTGCAAGGCACAGCTTACACCCCAGATGCGTACACAGTAAGCCTCTTCGCTTAGACTTTCCCAGAAAAGGACTATTGCGTCACATGAACCACATTTCGGACATTGATGGAACGAAGCATTGGATGTTGAGGACTCTGGATCAAAATACATTTGAACTCATCGCCAAGTCTGCAAACACCCGTCCAGGACTTACCCCTATCAACCCCTGACTATCCTACCACCGCTTACTTCCCCAACCCCTCCAACTTCGCATCCTCCAAGATCATGTCGGCCGCCCTGAAGCTCGCCATGAACTGCCCCACAATGGGAAAAGGACTCGGCACCCTCGGCAACGCGCTTCCATCCACAACCCTCAACCCATCCACCCCCTGCACCCTAAACCGCCCATCCAAGACCGCCAACGGATCCCCATCGGCGCCAATCGCCGCCGAGCTCGACGCATGATGCGAATACACCTGCCTCCTGATGAAATCCTTGGTTGCCTCCTCCCCACAAGCCCCCAGCTCCACCCCCCCAACACAAGGCTGGACCTCAGCGAAGGGCCCTATCGGTTCTTCTACCCCCCTCAGAATCCCCCGTGCAAATTCCACCCCCTCGTACAAGGCCTGTAAGTCCTCCTCCGCACCCTCCGCCCAAAAATTAAAGAAAATCTCCGGTGTATCCCTTGGATCCGCCGAGCGCAGCGTGACTGTCCCGCCCCCGTGGTTCCTCCCCTGGGCGTGCGCCATCGCGAAGGAAAATGTAGAGTCCGGGTCACCCTGCGGGCGAGAGTACCCGGGGTAAAACCCGCGAAAGATATCAGGGGGATTCCACATCACGAGGTCCCGACTGCGATTGTGCAGCGCGACGCTGGATGCGAGGTGAATAGAATGGGTAGATCTAGGGACGGTGTACGGGCCAGTCTGGTTCTGCCAGAGGTCGAGGCAGGGGTCGGGGAGGATTCCATGGGTGCAGATTGGCGCGTTGGGGTTGGGAGGGGGGGGGAGGGAGATGGAGGCGTGTGCGGCGAGGGAGATCTCGTAGTCGTCTTGGAGGCGGGCGCCTACGCCGGGGAGGTCGAGGATGAGGGGGATGTTGAAGGACGCGAGTTCGGAGGCGGGGCCGATGCCGGAGAGCTTGAGGAGCTGGGGGGTGTTGAAGACGCCAGCGGAGAGGATCACCGAGTGTCGGGCGTAGGCGGTGTGGGTGGCGGGAGGGGGACCGGTTCGGGTGGCGCGGGGGTCTGCGCGGTACAAAGATTTACCGCGGAGGTATTCGACTCCCATTGCGCGCGGCTTCAAGTTGGGGGTTGAGGGTGCGAAGAGGACTTTGATGACGAGGGACTCGAGTTGCAGTGTCAAGGGGTTGGCTGGAGACCCGTCGGATTTTGTCTGTGCAAGTGTAGATGCAAGTAAAAGGTTGGCGTTGATGCGGTTGCCGAGGGCGGTGTTGTGGAAGGGGAAGTTGAAGATGCCATGCTGCTGGTCGCGGTAGGGGTCAATCGAGTTTGCATCGGTCCTCATCCTGTCCAAGAGATCCTCTGGATTGTGACCAAGAGCAGTGGCGAGCTGGCGGTAGATCTCAAACTGCTCCGGTCGGCTTTCGGCAAGGCCATCGATGTTCCGGGGAATAGAAGTTGCCAACCAACCGTCAAAGCCATGGCCGGGAGTTCCGGGTGGGAGATATGTGTTGTTTTCGAACTGGACAAAGTAACGCCTCATGTTCTCGTGGCTGAAAGTTGTTAGCCTTGGTTCTTGTTGTATAGGTTGACTGATACTCACCCCCAACCCTCATCCCCTGTGATGTTCGCAATGTGATCCCAAAAGTTGTCGGCGGGTACCATGACAGCCCCAGCGTTGTGGGCAGAGCAACCACCAAGGGTGCCCGCGCGTGGGTAGTAGATGCCGAGGAACTTGGCACCCTCAGGGGGATCTTGACCAACGTAGTGATCTCCCTCGACCGTCTCCCAGGTCGGATATCTGTTGCTGTTGGCGATCTCGTCGTCGGCATGGTATCTCACGAAATAATCCCAGCGAAGGGTCTCGTCCTCAGCGGCTACGTCGGCAAGCACAATAGAAACGCTGGTGTTCAGGTTGGCCCGCTGGTCGTCGCCCGCGTCCATGAGAAGAACCGAGTATCCGTTTCTGGCGAGCTCTGTGGCAACCGGAGTGCCTCCGGGGCCGGACCCAACAACAATGTAGTCGTATGTTTCGTCATGTTCAGGGGCTGGAACAGCCGAGGCCGTCCCCCAAACAAGTGATGCGAGGAGCAGAGAGAGGAAGCCCATGGTGGCCGTTGACGCTTGCACAATGTTGAAGAGGAGGCACTAGTAGGTAACTGCTGAATTTGCGATTTTTCGGATTGAGATGCTAGTGAATCTTCACGACTCTTATATACCGGTCACCATCACTGCCCAGAGACCTCATAGTGATTGTGCACAACCAACGGAACCGCAACTACCGTCGTACGTGTCGATACAACCGTCCGCGTCACCATCATCAACTGACGTCGGACTCGATCCTCATGCTGGCACTCAGCCTGCCATTCATTCTCGTGCGAGAGGCTCATACTCCTGGGCCGTGATGTTTTCACCGTTGTGAGGTTTGTCGATCAGTGGGCGGCCGTCTCTTGGCTCTTGGCGCGGGTCGGGCTTACATGCCTGTCTCTGTATCCCCGAGAATCCATCCGGCCTTGTGGAGTCTTGGCATTGCTGCCCCGAACCGCCTGTATTATCACCGATCTCCGGGCCCGAACCCGGAGTTTGCAGGTCCCGTGCAGAGCGAAGTCAATAAGACTTTGTTGTTACACCTCTCTCATGACTGCTTCGACAACCTCAGCCT